GTCGCCCTGCCCGAGCAGGGCCCTGCCGGTGCTGGCGTCCATCCGCGTACCACCGCCTCCGGCGTGGAAGCAAAGCCGAGCAGTCGTTGTCAACGTTTTGTTACTGCCACACTGTAAACGTGTATTTATTTCCATTCAAGCCAACTAGTGTTACAAAATTTACCTCCGTGGGACAAAATTTTCACCCAAGTACAGGACAGCTGAATTCTTTTCCAAATTCGATGTGGGTTGTGTGGGACTGCGCAGCCCGAGGATACTGAAATACGCTTTAGGCCTTTTATTGTCTTCAGAGAATGGCTGCTGAATGGCCTGATACAGAATTACCTTTAAAAGGGCTGAAATGAGTGATCAGTCCAGACCCACGTGGAGCTTCTTCCTCAAGATTAATAAACTCCCATAATTGTGAGCCGTTATCTGCTGCTGCTTTTCGTCAAGGAGGTCCTATCGCCTGGCCTTGCTTTGCATCGCGTCCTGTTCTCGATATCCTCCAAATGGATTTAAGGACTCAAAACGACCTCAGCGAGCTGCCAAAGAAAAAAAAAAATCCTCTTTTACTCAAAGCTAGAACAAATTTACCTGCAGGATCAAGGACCAAGCCAGGGAAGCTATCTGAATATGCACTGCAGACACTTATTGGACAGTTTATCCCAGAGTTAGGCCTGGATCTATATATTTAGTAAGGCACCAACTTTATAACCTCTATCAGTCCAGTACTTGCTTGGAGTCTGCCATAACTATTTCTGCTATATGCCATAACCCAGAAGAAAAATCAATTGAGGAGTGTAGGCCAAGATTTTCCCAGCTGGCTGCTTAAACACTGGCTTCAGATTACTTTTGGAGCACCTGAGAAAAAGATACGTGCTTTTCAGAAACACAGTGTAGATGCAAGTTGCTTTGGAGTCAGGGAGAGCTGTAGACACAGGCAGTACCTCTGAAAAAACAGGTCATTGTTACTTGGATGCCAACACATCATCTAGGAATATTCCTCTGGCAAAACAAGTCTGAAGATTTAGGCCATGTTATTCTGCCTTGTAGCTCTTTCCATCTTTGGACCTTATAGTTTCACAATACCAAAGCCTGTGAGTGTTAGCAAGTAAAGCAGAGCCTGATTATCGTAGCTGAGTGACACTGACCCAACCGAAGTCCTTGGTTCTCACACAGGTCCCTCACAGTCTTTGGAGATTATTTGGCTCCCTAGATCTGCCTGGATGGAGCCTTTGCTATTTTGAAATTTAGTTAAGCCATGTACCTTGAGTCTTTCCTCTCACCTGTTCATCTATAGCTATTTTTTTGTTAGTTGGTAGTATTTAAACTGCTTGTTTGGATAAGTCAAAAAGATTATAAATGGATTATAAAAACAACTGAGGAAATGCAGTTGTGATGCAGTTTATGCACTAGGACACTGCTTTCCTCCTAATGTCTGTCCTTCACCACTCATTCCTTACTGACCACTCTGATTGTTCCCAGCTGCCCATAATCCTTCTGACTCCGTAATTACTTTTTCTCATTCCACATTCAATATTTTACTAAATGTAATCTCTTTCTTTTCTCTCTGTTTCTAGCACTGGATGTCTTTTCTTTAGACTCTAAGACTTTTCCAACCTTTTTTCTCTCTCTTCTTCCACTTCTACTCCCTCCAAAATGCTATTGCTGAGCCCTCCTTCCCTCACTTATGACACCTTGCTGTTCTTCCAGCAGCACCTTGCTGTTCTTCTCTATGGCCAAGTGCTTTTTACATTTAAAACCCTAAATCAAGTTCCTCTAACGTTGCAGGAGATCTCAGCATAGCATTAGCAACATATATTAGCTGGTGAAACTGTGCGTTCTTTAGCTTTACTGTTTCACTTCTGTGTTGATTCTGTGGCAGGACTGGAACCAGACATGGTATACAAACACCCCCAGATTGACCTGGTGCTTCGAGAACACAGTCATTCCTTGGATCCCCTGTGCCTATCTTTGGATCTGTTTTCCATTCTACTACTTGTATCTTCGACACAAAAACAAAGGCTACATTAGGATGTCCCACATCTTCAAAACTAAAATGGTAAGGGCAGAAGCTGGGGTTTGAACCTAGCATTCTGGCAACTTTGATACAGAATTTAATTGTTCTAAATAATCAGCTCTTTCCTGGCAATCCATCTGTGTTTGCCTCAGCATTAATCCCCAACCTGCCCTTCCACCTCTCCAGTCTTACAGCTCAGGCTGCTCAGAGCATTCGGTTTGGTAGATCATCCTATCACCATTTCAGTCCATTCCAACATGTGTTTGCTGTCTCTGCCCCAGGTCCTTGGATTCATTCTTGTAATACTGTGCTTTTCTGATATCTTCTTCATGCTGTGGAAAATAAGCCAAGGAATCTCATGGGCTCCGGCAATCTTCATTAGTCCTGCAGTGCTGGGGATTACAATGGTAATTATTCCTTTGTTTTGTCTGTATGTGGCCCCGTTTAGCCCTCCTGGGACAGGTCTTGCTTGTATGTCTTATGTTTCTCGGTATCTTTTGAGCGCAAAGATGGCTGATGGGGAATAGAAGCTGCTGTGAAGCCTTTGCAGGCTGGAGCCACGCTTTGTGACTTTCTGCAGTATGAAGTGGCAATGGGTTGGAGCTGGGGCAGGACCAGTGGCTCTACAGCTATGTTATATACAGCTCTTTGGGTAGAGTACTCCTCACAGGAGCTGAGGCAGCAGTAGTGATTAGAAAGAGATCTCACAACAAGAGGACAGGGTCCAGTTTCTCTCAGCCACAGTATGTGATGCAGTGTGGTTGGTATCTCAGTGAATGAAATGGGATTCCTGTTCCTCTAAGTGCCTCTTCTCCCCTTCTGTCATTGCGTCTTCATAGCTCTTATCCTCCCAACCTCTTGGCCTGGTTGTAGTTGTATTGCTTGCTCTTTCAGTACCTACATTCTTGAGGGCAAAATGGCACATGCCTTTCAGTTTTAGCCTTTTAGGAACAATACTTCAGCTCTGAGCATTTTGAAATGTTTGGGCAAGAAACTAATTGATTTTACTCTCTGTATCCATTAATTTGATAATAATGTTTGGCTTTTCATTACTAGCTATTTATTTGGACATACTTCTCACTTCCTCTCAGATGCTTGCAATGTTCCTTACCCAGGCGGAAAGAATGGTGGGCACCCAGTCTTCAGGCATCTTGCTGATTTACTGGCTGCTCACGTTCCTGTCTGCAGCTGTGATGCTTAGTTCCAAAATCCAACATGCTCTAGAAAGAGTAAGTGAAATCGTGAATTTCTAACATGAAGGGGTATGAAGTCTCTAAACAGTATGGCTCTTTTTGCCTCATTGATCATGAGGTGGACAACTAAATTCCTCTCTTAAGATACTTGCTGAGAGGAATGGCTGATGATTCTTGGTCATCTCCAGCCATGTTATCCATCTCAATATAGATAGAGCGTTGTTTTCTGAGAGCTCGGCTGACTTCACATGTGAATAAATGCAAAACGAATGTAAATGCTGTCACTAAAAACTGGCCTCATCCCAGATTTTGTATCAGCATACATATCTTGGTATATTATACATCATATTATTTGGGTAATAATACTAAGTATTACTTACTCAGTATTATTTGGGTAATTTTCCGTTTAGTTTTCCATTTCAGTAGCGCTACATAACTACAATTTAAATAAATGCAACTGTAAGAAAATACGCCTCATGCTTCGAACCAAAACTCAGAGTTTATGGCTTATAGAATATGAGATGTTCACTTTCTCCACTGATTTCACGTGTAGGGTCTTTACCTCAATCTCAAGAGTACTCTGTTTCTTAGGGCTTCCTGGAAGACCCTTTCCACCATGTTACAACTTACCTTTATGTTAGCCTGGTGCTAGGACAACTTGTGTTGTTCTGCTTAGCTGATCACCCTCCCTTCTTCTCCAAAACTGTCAACAACCCTGTAAGTATAATGGCTTCTCATAATGCATTGCTTCATTGTCCAAACAGAAATTCAAATTTCTGCAAATATGCAGGAACATGATTATCTGGGAGAGGGAAAATGCATCATTTTGCATGAAGGACAACATTTTTATAAGTTGAACCGGCTCAGTTTTGGATTGAACCAGTTTATTTTCAGAACACCTGTACTTGCCATTAATGTAATGAAGAGGCAGGTTCTTGGCCCTCCTGGGAATGCCCTAGACCAATCTATTTCCCAACTTTTTTGTTACCTAACACTCCCCATCCCAGTTTGCCACTTTTTCATGAGCCACAGCTTTTCCCTGTTTCTCCAGTTTTCCCACTTCTACTGGCACTAGCAAAACTAACAGGGTTAATAAACCCCTTCTGGTTCACTCCTGAGTAGACTAGGCACAAAGCAAGCACAAAAGCACCGATGTTTGTTATTTTCTATGAGATATGAGTAGGGCAGAGCTCTGTGCTTCAGAAAATAAATGTCTGCGTGTGTGAAGACTGAGACTTCCCTCCTCCATCTTAGGCATTATTCAAAGTCTAATTCACCAAACTCTCCTGGTCACGCTGATCCTTCACAATACGTTTACAGCGTCTGGGGCAATGAATGGGGGTTGCATAGCTTTTAGATTGCTTTTCCTGTGGAAGTGCAGAAGGGGATTGTGTTTATCTGACACGTACCCATTTCTAGATATAAATATCATCCATGTTTTTCCTCCCATCAGAATCAGTGTCCAGAAGCCAACGCCTCTTTTCTTTCCAAAATCACATACTGGTGGTTCTCTGGGTAAGAAAACAACTTTTTTTTTTCTAGAATATCAGATAAAAACAGTTAGGGTAAAAGAGGGTGTAGATGAGAGCCAGCAGCAAATATCTCAGCCCAAAACTTAGCTTGCCTGGTGAGGAGGTAAATTCTTTCTCTGGAGACCTGAGGAATTCCCAAAAGATACAGTTATACAAATTCAATTATTTTTTTCAAAATAGTTTAAAGCACAAATTTGAAAGCTGACTTTGCAATTCTGGATAATTCTCTCTGCACTTCCAGCTACCCCTCCAGCGCCCTCCCAATCCTGAAAGTAATACCTCAGTAATCTAAAATGATCACTGTACACCACCCACAGCCCTGCCTGCCTGCCAGCCAGACCTTCCTGTAACAAAAGCTGGGCAGAAAGGAAATGTCAGAGGGGGACATGGGCCTACTCTGCCGCTTCACATTCAGAAGGAAAATGATTACGTACTTTGGGCCTGATTGATTGTCAGCAACGATAAGGCCTAGCCTATGTTTCACCAAGCCACCAAATCAGTCAAAGAAAACTTTGTCTCCCGCTGCCCACACCCCAAATCTCAGTACAAAGTAAAATAGAATTAGGGCTTACTTCCAAATGACAATTACATTGGCAGAAGATAGCATATGGGTTTGGCAGAAGATAGCATATGGGTTTGAAACAAAACTGCTGTTCCTGAATATTCATGTTTATTCTGGGAAAGTATATTCCTGAATAATGTTTTATGTAAGTGACTCTCTCGACCCACTATGGAACACTAACTTAAAGCCCGTCTGCTTTCAATACGTTGCGTGCACAAATGCTTCTGCGCTTAGGTTACGGCAGTCTCTGTGTTCTGCAGGCTTGTCTGCAAAGGCTATCGGCAGTCCTTGGGGGTGGATGACCTGTGGTCAATGAGGGAAGAGAACTCCTCAGAAGCAATCGTTGCCCAGATTGAAAGAGAATGGAAAAAGTATCGTAGCGGAACCGAGCAGTAAGTACTTGGTCTAGAGAGCATGTCAGGGACTCAAGTGGGCAGTTTTTCTCTCTCCTCTAGATGACTTTTGGACATCCTCTAGATGATGTGGAACAAATAAGATTCACAGGTGCTGACATGCCATCTCAGAACAGACGCTTTCATCCCCTCAGAGTGCCACACAGACTGCTTCAGCACATACGCAGGTGTGAACTTCACATCTTCTAGGTGTTTCCTATCTGGACGAGAGATTTGTTGAAAGGTTTATTCCCACTGAATTATTTGTCAATTGAACAAGGAAAAGAAAAGGAGAGTCTATGTAAAGTAATCTGAGTAACTCTCTGCTATGAAAACATTAGCCCGCAGTAAGTGAGTACTTGGTGAGTTGCACATCAGATATTAAGTACTGAAATGTGCTGGAGAACATGCTTTAATTCCTGGAAGTCGGAGCCTTAAGTTCTTTGTGAAAGGGATCATTTCTTCATGTGCATTTATACTGGACACAACATTCAGTGTGGGATATTTAGCAATGCTGTTGAAAGCACAAGATCCTCAAGCTTTCTCTGGCTGCAGCTAGCCGCCTTATTATTTTTTTCTTTAGAAAAATGGAGTCCATTACATTTAAAAAGGGTCAGAAGAGTGAAACTGGCTTAGCAGAAACTGAAGAGACCCAGATTCTACTGCAATCACAGCAGAGTCAGAGTGGGCCCTTACTGAAAGCATTCTGGAGCATGTTTGGAACCTATTTCCTTCTTGGCACCCTCAGCTTAGTTATCTGTGATGTCTTCTTGTTCTCCATCCCAAAGTTACTGAGGTACGTGCAAATTTGGAATTTATTTCCAAAGACAAATACCATACATATAAGATTGCTGTTTGCATGAGAGATGTGTATGACAGCACCCACAGAGACTGACAAACAGACACTTAAATTAGAAATTTCGTAGTGCTGATGCAAGGAGCTCGATTATCATTTGTACTAAACCCACAGCCAATGCAATGAGAAAAAGCCATCACTGGCCAAAGCTGCGCACACTTTCCTCACTGCTCTGTTCTGACAGTGGAGAAGGTCCATTGCTCCAAGTCTTTTGGCAACTTGACTAGAACAGGAGTGTCAGTTCTTGGATCGTTTTACGTATCACATCGATATGTCAGCCACTTGCTGTACTCTTAAGGCTCCGTGATCTCTGACTGATTATAAAGAGCACAGTTGTGCATCCTATACATCTCAAACAGCTTCTTTAGTCAGCTGACTTTCTGCTTTGTGGGCTGCATTGGTACAACACATGACAGTATATGTTCAAGGCCAGAATCACTTGTCGGTCATTAAGGTTAAGTGAAGTTCTAGAATGCCAATGGCTTCCTTAGATTATGGCTCCCAATGTGTGTATTTCTGACAAATTCATACTATTCAGGAGCCATCCTTAACATTGAAAACAAGGTCTTCCCTGAGGGGAAGATGCTGAGATCAGAGATTGCTCCAGAACCAGGAATAGCTAAATGTCAAAAATCAAGATGTTGTAGACATGGGATACTTAGCAGTTTGTCCCACTCTTCTGCTCTTTTACTGACAAAGTTCAGCCAGAGAGAATACAGAAAAATCCCTGTTATTTCTGCATTTCTGTGTGTCTGATATTTCATCAGTACTACATGGGTTCATCGACACCTTTTGCTCCTGTCTTGCAGCCTTTTCCTGGAGTTCATTGAAGACCAAGAGGCCCCTAACTGGCATGGTTATTTCTATGCCTTCACTATGTTCCTATTAACTTGTCTCCAGACTCTCTTTGAACAGCGATATATGTACATGTGTCTTGTTCTGGGACTGAGACTGAAAACCGCAGTAACAGGGCTTGTGTACAGGAAGGTGAGTCTGCAGCTTCCTTTTCAGCTTCATTTTTTTCTAGGCCCTACATTAATCGTTATAACATTGTTGGTACCGATTCTTAACAATATCATGGAAAATGTTATTAGAGAACTACTTTTAGCGTATAGCTCTGTGCTCTTATTAATCTCTGAACAGCATGTGGGAGGTATTTTACTTTTTCTTTTTTTCAAATCCTACCTCTGAAGGGAAAAAGAAGAAAAGAAAGCAGCAAAAAGCAACTTAAGCTTTCTTATGCTGTAGATTGTGGTTGGGGCTTTTCATTCATTGTCAGAAGAAATAAAATCTTCATCCTAAAGAGAAGTCGTATATCCTAGGCAATAGCATGCTTTCAGTACCTAGGATTTGACTTTTTTCCCATCTTTTCCTTTCTTTATAAGGAAAAGAAAGTTGTTTGATTCTCAGATCAAAACCTGTTGTTTGACTATGTCTTTCCTTTCTTCTCCACCCTGTCTAGATTCTAGTAATGTCAAACGCATCAAGGAAAGCAGCAACAGTAGGTGAAATTGTTAATCTGGTATCTGTTGATGTCCAAAAGCTAATGGATCTTGTTATCTATTTTAATGGGACCTGGCTTGCTCCTATTCGGATTATCATCTGCTTCGTCTTCTTGTGGCAGGTAAAATATGACAAGAGTACCTATCAATGCCTTTCTATTCTTGACATCAAAAGAAAGAGGAGTTTTCAAAATTCTGCTTAGAGTTTTGCTGATCTGAACAACTTGAAATTGTCATATTTTTCTTAGCTCTACAGCATTGTAGATTCACTTGTATTATTAGAAGATATTTTTATTAGTATAGAAGTGTTTCATGATGCTTCGCTTCAGCCTTTTACCTGTGCATTCAGCATTCCGTCTCTTTTAGGCAAAGACAGCAAGTGTGATTGTTCTGAGCTTACTGATAAACTTCTGCCATCAGGTCTTCTTTTCTCAGCTCTCTTTTCAATCAAAACGGGGTGGCCCACTGCAGGTTGCAAGTCCAGTTCCAGCTCATCATCAGAGTTAAAAAGCGTAAATGAGAATGGTCTGAAATGACAACTTGAGGGACTTCATCCTGAAGTCTGCTTACCACAAGATCAATGAAACAGTTTGAAGCAAGGTTATATGATATTGAAAAAAGAGTATGGGAAACATTACATTTCATAGGTGTCAAGGAGTTTAGCAAGGAGACAGCAAAACCTAAATTGGAATAAAGGCTGCTAGTCTAAAAGATTCATCTTTTCCCTTAGTTTACTTAGTTCCTTGGCATTTTCTCAGCAGGACAGAGCCCTATTTCTCAGTCCCTGTTTTTTGTTGATTGCACGCCAATGGAAGTATGAGCACTAAAGAGACAGTCGCTTGCCAGAGGCCTTTGAGACCTTCCTTTGTTAACTAGGATCAGCTATGACCTGTCAGGATCCTACAGCCTTGGAAAGTAGATTAGTAGCTATGGTATAGACTGCAGAAAGTTCATCATCCCTTTCTAGTGGTGGTGACAAGCTGAATGCTGTTACATGTAGTTGGAGCTACATGAGATTTTTTTCAGTAGTAACTTACAGATTGCTTTATATCTCTCTCCTTCTTGTTTAGGAATAATTAATACTTTGTTTGCTAGTGTCTACAGACCTTCTGTGTAGTGAATACCTTTGTTTATCTGCGTATACTGGCACTCATCTCTCTCCCAAACTGTAGTAGTCTGCCAAGGGTCGCAACTAAACCAGGAAAACCAAGCTCTTTATATTGGCCCACAAACATAATCATTGCAAACCCGGTATCCAAGAGCTGTCCAAGTGTACATGTCACAGTAAAATGCTGCCATTTCATGCCACTCATTGATGTAAATTCAGGCAAGCTAGGTTATTTATGCTGCAAGAATAGTTTGCTGAGGGCTTGCTTTTGTTTTAAACAAAACCCAGTTTGGGTGACTTATTTACGCCAGCCACAAGATGTCCTCCTTAACGCATCCAAGAATGGGAGAGAAGAAACAGAAACGACTTCTGAATCTCCGGAGTGTTTCTGGATCTCTTTCAGCCCTAATCTTGTTCCTAAAAAGGAAGCAAATAAATTCAGCGGAGCACAATGACAGGAGCTACCCTGCCTGGAGAGTTAACAATTCTCAGTGATTAGGGAGCACAACTCCCAAGAATGGCAAAGGGCACACTAGAGGAAAGCCTTAGGCATGAGGAATGTCAGGCATAAGCTTCAAGTGAGAAGGAAGGTGAGCAAGAGGGCGTAGAAGACAAAGTTGTTTCTAGCTATCACCAATAGTTCTTCTCTTTCCTTTTCTCTCCTGGCAGCTTCTTGGGCCATCTGCCTTGACTTCGATTGCTGTATTTCTTCTTCTCTTGCCACTGAATTTTGTGATCACAAAGAAAAGGAGTCAATTTCAGGTATATTTTGCTTCACAGAAATGAAAAGTGTTTTACTGAAATATGCAGGGATTCAAAAGCTAAGGTCTGCTGTGCTCTCCTAGGAAACGATCAGGTGGAACCCAAGACTACAAAGCAGAAAAAAACCTGATGATTACAGTAGGCATGTTGTAACAAAAAGTATTATACTGAAGTGCATCACTAACACGTGATGGCTTGATATTTGTTACCCATACTGACCATGACTGTCAGAAGGACCGTCAGTAGTAGGATTCAAAGCCTGCAAAGTTTCTTGAGGTTTAGAGTAAGCTCTTCTTCATGTTCAATCTTTTACTTTGTGTCTGCCCCCCTTTTCTGTTTTTGTTTTTTTTTAAAAAAAAGAAAAATTCTAGTAAAAATTAAACTCTGAAGATGAAAAGCCAAATATCTGCCAGCCTGGAAGACTGGTAAGCAAAAGAGTATACACAGCTCAACTGCAGGGAAATTTGTTTAGAATTCATAGGCAAGATTAAGGTGTTTTTTCAGAATAATTGCACAGTTATACACTCACCCAATTAAACAATGTTCATGAACACTTATTACAGGAGGCCCAGATGAAATATAAAGATGAGCGAGCCAAACTCACCAATGCCATTCTCAGCGACATTAAAGTAATCAAACTCTATGGCTGGGAGAACATCTTCATGGAGAAAGTGCTTGATATCCGGAAGCAAGAACTTCAGGCCCTAAAAAGATCTCAGATTCTCCTCTCAGCATCTCTAGCTTCCTTCCATTCATCAACTTTCCTGGTGAGTGGTTCAACTTGTGACATAAAACACATGCTGCTCTTATTTCTACTTCTCTTTGTGGTGCTGTCTGGACAGGTTTTTCCCATTGGACAGCTGCCCAGAAGATTGGTGCTCTCTCAAGGGGAGCTGAGAGAGCCCAGAAGATTGGGCTGTCTGCCCAGAAGATTGGTGCTCTCTCAAGGGGAGCTGAGTCCCAGTGGAATCGGCCATACAGACATTTACACTGTCCTAACAGTTCGGTGGGCAGTCACTTGGTCTGGTCGTATGCTTCAGGCAGACTGACCCTGCTTTGCATGAACCACCTGGAGACCACCAGCTGCACCGAGTTTATGGCACTGTCAGAATCTGCACAAGTCACTTTTGCACTTGATGTTCTTGCAGCTCAGTGGAGAATTAGTTGTGCCAATGACCTTGCTGTGGTTGCAGCACCGAAACTTCCTTAAAGCAGAACAAATGTCAAGTGATCAGATTGTTGGTTTTGTCACCAGCATGCAAGACCTTTACCTCTGATATTTGCAGGACAGCGGCATCATGTATGTGGCTGATAGCCTAGCTTCGACTAAATGGGTTCCAGAGTCTTTAGGAAGGGACCTGGCACCCTTGAAGCATTCTCTTCCCTGTCTGAAGCGAACGATTTGCTTTTTCTTTGCTTCCTTGCAGATTGCATTTGTCATGTTTGCTGTCTACACCCTGGCAGATAACACACACATCCTGGATGCTCAGAAGGCTTTTGTATCTTTAACACTGATCAACATCCTCAACACTGCACACTCCTTCCTGCCGTTCTCCATAAATGCTGCAGTTCAGGTTAATTGCAGGCTATGTTCCTCTTTCTTTGGCCATTATTGTTTTATTACATATTACCATTAAAAAGTAAAGGTAGGTATTTCTTATGATATTCAACCTCAGGCCAGCTATTTAATTGCTGTCAGGAAACAGTGAACGGCAAGGACTTGCAGCTGCACAGGTACTTTGGAATACTGTTTTTCAGAAAGGCTCCATATATTAACAAAATAGTCACTCATAGCAACTCTTCAGTCTTTTGGGGCCATATTCATGTCCTATGTTGTGAGGCTGGGGCTAATGCTCTTTTCATTGGGCAGCGTCTGGGCTTCAGCTGTCTTTTAAAAGCATTAATTCCTTCTTAGTCCTATATCAGCAGCATTACGTCTCAGAAGTGCTTCCAGCTCCGTTTTTTATCACAGAAATCAGAACAAGTTTCAAAGGAAACCCTGCTAGCCCAGGCCAGAGAGAAAAGCAAAAACGCTTGTGAAGAAATTGGGAAATTGCACTTCCCTCTTGCTCCCCAAGAGGACTGTCGTGACTCTTCCTTAACAGAAACAACCACTGGAAAGTTTTGCTAAATGAATTTGGGGGAAAAAGCACCAATTTCAAGCACCTAAACAAAAGAGAAAACACATGGAAGAACATGTTTTTTTGCTGAGCTAGCTGAAAAAAAAAAAGCAATTAGTGTAGTAGGGAAGAGCTGCATTTATCCAGCTAAGCTTACAGCATCTGCAACATAGCACCTAGTCAACAGTCTAAGTGGGTCTTCAGATTGAGTCTTTACGCTGAGTTCTAGTTATCTTTCTAATTCTAAGTCCTATTATTTCCTGTGTTTCTTTATTTCAGGCCAAAGTTTCTTTAAATCGCTTAGCAGCTTTTCTGAATCTGGAAGAACTGAATCCTGAGAGTTCAAGCAGAAACACTTCGGACTGTGGTGAGCTTTTTGCATTAGCATTATTGTCTTATGGAGGTGTAGCTTTCATTGTTCAGCTTCTACTCTTAGAGTGCCTACATAGTCAAGAGCGAAAACCATTTGCCACTTACCATCATTTTCTCTCTCAGGCCTATTAATTTTTAACTATCAGTGCCCTGATAATTAACCCCTTCTTCTGGGACATAAGGTTCATCTTATTTATATGTATAAGTACACACTGAAATGTAAAGTCACATAAATAGGAACATTTTTGTGCCTACCTTTGAATATACATGAATTCTACTACTTGTCATGTTTTAGTACAGGCAAGCATCACCATAAGGAATGGAACTTTCAGCTGGAGCAAGGAAACTTCTCCTTGTCTTAGAAGGTACAGAATTACCCTTAATCATCCCACTTCTGAAGGCTTGGGTGGATGCTGAAGGAAACGATCCTTCAAGGCCATAAGTGAAAACTTATAAATGGGGAATATCTGGAGACTTTTGATTTTTCTTTACAGAATTTTCTTGTCCAAATATGAAATTACAGCAATTTAAGTCAAAAAGCAGAAGCAGTTGTATACAAATATTATATATGACATCACTACATGCTTATCTCAAAAGCAGTTTCAGAAAAGAAAAATTGTTGCAAAGCACTGATGTTCAGGAATGTTCTGCATCCAGTGCTTTGCCTATCTCCAGAATGGAGACCTTGGCCTAGGATCTGGGTTTGAAACCCATTAGGAAAAAGCAAGAAGATGGGGATGTGGCTGACGGATTTCTAGTTGAAGATGCCTTTGAAGGGATAACTCCTGAGCTGCTGCAAAAAAAATCAGCATGACAGAAAGAGAAACGCTGTATAAACGAGGCCTAAAGCGTGAAATTAAGGGGTTTGGTTGGTACATTTTTATTGTAAGAACACAGTAGCAAGAATTTTGCTTATTTTCTTTTCAGAAAGCACATCTGAAAGCTGCTAAGAGACTAACTGGGCCGTGGGGGGGGCTGTTTTCTTTGTAGGATAGATCTCACTGTGCCCCAAGGCTGCCTGCTTGCTGTAGTTGGCCAGGTGGGTGCTGGAAAATCCTCCTTGCTGTCAGCATTACTTGGTGAGATGGAAAATACAGATGGCTACGTGACCATGAAGGTAAATCTTCCCCTGAGCATTTGCTTGTGAGTAGGCAGTCTTCAGGAACAATGAGGTATCACCTAAGGCATCACCTCCTTGATGGAAAGCTGTTTAGTTTACTGCTGAACTTTGGCAAAGGCTATAATGTAGCAGCCTGCATTTATTCATCTGAAGGTGCTTAAGACCTCTTGGGGGAGCCTGGCCCTTGGGAATGGGATCTGGAATAAACCTTTGGAGATCCAGTCCCATTTCCCATGCTGACACCAAGCTGAAACGGTATCCTGGTAAGGTACTTCACCTGTTTGTACCTCATTTCCTCTACTATATAGAAGAGGAGAGGTGTAGCCCTCTGACTTTGCAACGCACTCTGAGAGCTGTCAGTGGTGACGGTCATTCCTCAGTCTCGTTTATCATACCGAATTTCTGTAAAGCTAATTGGGAGGTCTTTTCCTCAAAGACACATTCCCGCTGTATGTAAGAAACTTTTCATCTTCAAGTTTAGCATATGAGAAGGATATTGGTAACATTCTTCCATTTCTGTTTTTACAGGGCACAGTCGCTTATGTCCCTCAGCAAGCTTGGATACAAAATGCTTCAGTGGAAGATAATATTCTCTTTGGGAAAGAGATGGATGAAATATGGTTCGACAGAGTGATTGATGCTTGTGCACTTCAAGCTGATTTGGAGAGCTTCCCTGCAGGGCGGAAAAGTGAAATAGGAGAGAAGGTGCTGGCCCAGTTTTATATTTTGGCCAGTTTTTCTAGGAGGTGCTAAAACTGTCCGTGTCCTGCTCCAAACACCTGTTGAAGGGACTAAATTTGCAGGCTAGAGGTACTCGAGAATTTCTGAAAACTCCTGACTTAACAGGGTCTGAAGCTTACCACCTGACAGTTAAGGTAGCCAGAGAGATGAGAGACGGTTAAGATGAAACTCTTGGGTCTTCTTTTGCAGGTCAGGGGAGTTGCAAGTGAAGCTGCTACTGCCTCAGTATCTCAGGAAGCCTTTTAAGGAAGCCATAAAAACCTCAGTGTAAAATGCAGGCAAGGGTTAGCAAAGATGATGTAACTTTGGAATAAACAGTGTCAATGCATTTTTACAGGGGATTAATATATCTGGAGGGCAGAAACAAAGAGTGAACCTCGCTCGTGCCATATACCAGAAGGCTTCCATTTACCTATTGGATGACCCTCTCTCAGCTGTTGACGCCCATGTTAGACAGCACATTTTTGAACGTGTTCTTGGACCCAATGGCCTACTAAAGGACAAGGTATGTCAAACTCTAAATGATAAAAGATAGTAAAGCTGTATCCTTAAATGTATCCTAACCATCAGGTCTCCTTAAATGCTTGTTGTGAGGTGGGATACCCAAGGTTTCCAAGTTATTTTTTTTGCTAGTGGCAGCAGGTACTACCATTAGCAACAACGGCAGTGGAATGGGTAACCTCTGCAAGGCACACACCGCATGGAAGTCATGCAGTGAATCTCACCTAGAGAAGAGGAAGACGGGAAAGATAGGTTCTGCTGAAACGCTGCTTGCATCCTCACTCAAACCACATGCCTAGTTCCAGCCTTATTTCTACAGCAAGTTTAGAGCTCTTTGTTCTTCTGTCAGCGTTATTAGGAAGAGCTGTGTGATCTCTTCCGGCTCATCGTGTCTCATCATAATTGTCCCATCACTTTTGAATACTTCAGTGGGGCCTTCACAATTTTCCTCACCCAAACGTTCATCACTTAAACTCTGGTCTTGAAATCCGTCTTAAATTCTTCTCTTCCTTTCTTCTTTGCAGCTTTGCTTTTTGATATTCCTTGGTATTTCTCTGCTGTCAAGCAATCTGAATCGTAACTGTGCGTGCATGGGAAGATAGAAAGATAGGCCAGCTCTGTTTGTTTCTTGACATAAATTGCCAGGGTATTGCATTAAAGGCAGGAGTTTGCGTGCAGCTTCTCATTTCTAGTCTGTGCTTTACTTGTTTCAAGAGGCTAGGGGGTAGTAGTTGGTTTAAAAGAAAAGAAACCATAAATCTAATCTGTGCCCAAGCAGAAGGGATCCTATAAATACTTCATTTGAGGTATTTTTTTTTTCATTAGAAAGCGCAATCAAAACAGAAACTTCTGTGATTACAAATATCTTTCTCTTCACATATAGATTGGTTACAAGCATCAGAATGTAATCATTATATTGACATATGGAAAGACTGGCAAAGAGCAGGTATCAGACTTAACGTGTACTCAAAGAGCGGTAATATATTAGAAATATAGAACATGCCCATTTCTTATCTGAGGAAAAATATTTTTCTTATATTCTTACCTACATGTAAGTATCTGTGCAAATATGCTTGAAAATTTAGCGGGAAAGGAACTTCAGTGTAACTCCATGTAGGCTGATGAAATTGTGAGGCTCAGATTTGGCTCTGAAATATTGACAATGGTGACAATAAACGTGACACAATCTCTGATTAACATGAATCTAGTCAAGAGCTTCAGTCTGGGTGGAATCAACAATGTGGAACTAGTTAGTGAGCTGGCAAAAGCTTCTTCCACGCACACAGAGTGGTAGCCTGGGACTTCAGACTTCAGTTCCTGTGCTTGCTTTTTTATGCTGTGTGACACACAGCAAGCTGGTTCACCCGTCTGCTCCTGAGTTCTGTCTGCACTTTCAAAATGGGCACAAAGCCATGCTACGGTGCTGTGAAGATAAAGTTCATCAAAGAGATGTTCAGAAGTGATAAGAACAGATAACAACTACATCCCTATGGTAGCGGAAATTGTAGCTCACGCTGAGTATGTGTCTTTCTTCAGAAGACAGCTGACTGCAACAGCTCGAGCGAGCAGTGGAATGCCAGAGCAATTGTAACTGTTCTCTCTTGATTCAAGTAGACCCGTGTGCTGGTGACTCACACAATCAACATTTTGCCCCAAGTGGATAGCATTGTTGTGCTGGTGGATGGAACGATCTCAGAAGTTGGTTCTTACCAAGAACTTCTACAGAGAAATGGGGCTTTTGCAGAATTTCTTCATTCACACATCACTGCAGAAGAGAAAGCAGGCTCTGGTTTATCAGGTAACCCAAATGAATTGGAATCATTCTTCCCAGTCTGATCAGTCACTTGTTTTTCTTCTTTAATGTTATACTTAACATTAAGGAACTGGAGGTTTGCTACTGTTCAGTTAGGAAGAAGGAAAAATAGAACAAAACTAGAAAAGCCGGTCTTAGATTTGTTCTATTAAGGACATTTAAAGCAGAGATTCCATCACAGTAAGCTATCATTTTGCATGGAAAAAAAAAAATATCCCTGTCAAATTAGCTGACTCAGCATTCCAAAACTGGTTCTTCCATAAACAGTTCCATCTTAGTGGAAACAACCATGCTGTTAACACTGTTAACATAAATATCCACTATATGTGCCATTCTTAAAGCCCCACAGATATTATTGCTCCCTTTAGAAACAATTATTTGTAATGAATCTTTCCTTCGTGTTACATCTCTCATGGCTGTACAGGACAAAATGGGAATGTAAAGCATTTAGAGAGAAAAAGTGCACTTATTTCACAGCTATAGGAGACACCAAAGGAACCATCACCTCTAGGGATGATCCATTGCGGGAGAAGCTCTGTAGGTAAGCTTGAAGCTGTCTCAGACACCAAAGGACTTGCTCCAAAAGCCCATACAACACTCTGTGAAGACAGTTACTGAGTATGAGACAGGTTTGGGATCCGGCTGTAAATAAGCCCACAAGCAAAACACAAGACGGCACAGAACTGCTCTTGAATATGGGTGCAGAATAACATTTGCTTTGTATTTCACAAGGAGCTGTAATTCATCCCAAAACTCAGGTACGAGACATATTGGTGTATTTGCATGCTCTTCATTTCCCAGCGGGGCTGCAAGGTCTGACTCATTTCATGTCAGCCACAGCTAGTGAACGCTCAGAGCCTCCATCTGTTAATAGCTATACTTCACAGATCCCAGTGCCAGTGATAAACACAGACAATGCTCTGGGTCACTCTGAAGGATGCCAAAAACTGCAGTTCCAAAAATAGGGATGCCTATAGGAGTAGATGGGTAAGGTTGTCCAGCCTCACCAGTTCCCACACCCCTTTTGACTCTGGGAATACCACATTCCCAATATGAGAAGTGTTCTCACATGCTCTCAGGGAGAAGAAAGAGCAGTTCAGCTTTACCCTCCCTCCTCAGACACACACATGTGGCAGTGGGAGTCTTTGGATCTAAAAAGGCTTTAAAATCCTCATTGCCTTGGCTAAAAGTCAAAAGGATTTTTTATTTGCTTTATGAAGTGGCAGTTCAGACAAGTCTTCTGCTATGGAAAGGGAGTCCATTCCTGTAAGTCAAGACGGTGCCGCTGCTGCAGCTGCCAAAGGAAGATTAACCAAGGGAGAGAAAGCTCAACATGGCAGGGTAAGTGCAGCACTTCCCTATAAGGGTGAAGACATGCATCGTGGGCTTATTACTGACCCACTCATGGTAGATGGGTCAACTCTCTGCCTGAGGTAAACTAGTGCAACTCCAGGGAAGGCAGCTGAGCTGTACAAGTTTGCCCTATAACTAAGGCAAAGTCATTCCATCATTGTTTTATATAGCACCTTCCATGCAAGTATACCTCCTGCTGTGTCCCAGTCGAAGTAGTAGTTACAAAACAGGAATAAGGCAGATACATTGCAGAGAGCACATTATGGAAGTGAGGGAGGAAAGAATGATTTATGATTACTTGAGAAGAGAGATACTGATTCAAGAGCTGAGCTGAAGAGGGAAGACACACTGAGGTAGTCAGGGTGAGGTAGTAGTGAGGGACAGAGGTGGGGAAGAGAGGGACTTGCAACGCTGGATCTTTCTACAAACCCTTGAGGATGCTGGGAAGGGGCGAAGGGGCGCATCAGTGTTCTTGTCTCGTCCAAGGAGAGACCTGAAAAGGCTGAGGCAAGGAGGGTATTATGGAAGACAAAGAAGCAGAGGCAGGATTCCAGCTAAGAGGAGTTACGCATGGATGAGCTGTGGACACAGGACACATCGTGGCAGTGATTAAAACGCGGGGTGGAAAAGAATAGCTAAGACTGTACACTGCAACAGAGAAGAGGTGAGAATAGAACGTCTAACATCCCAAAGAGATAAGGGGGCTGCTCTTCCCCTAGGGAAGTACGTTATTCATGAGACTAGGGTCCTCTCGCCTCTACTGGTCAGCAGTTACTCACAAAAACAGTTACTGGGATACATGTAAGTCATCACTCACATTGACGATGAATGTAAATGACTGCCCAGCTTAAGGAAAGCCTTATGTTCTTTCCAGCAGTAACACAAGCCTAATGGAACCAGCATTCAGCTGTTGATTATGATCACTGGTTAGCACCATGGATTTATTCAAATACAGCTTCATTATTCATCCAACAGGAGAATGAAGAGAGAATTAATACAGTTGCTAAGGCCCACAACAGAGTAGATCTGCCATAATAAATCATCTCTTGTTTCAGAGCTGCTGTTCTTTGCTAACAAGCTTGATCCTTCCCATCCCTCCTTCTATCTCCTTTATTCACTTAATTGTTTCATTCCAGGTTAATATTTCAATTTATGTGGCCTACCTGAGGGCGACAGGTTCCTTGCTGTGTTTGTACATCGTTCTGTTGTTCACATGTCAGCAAACTGTGTCATTTTCTCGTGGTTATTGGCTCAGCATGTGGACAGACGACGTCGCTCACAATGGAACACAGCAGCACACAGAGCTCAGGGTTGGAGTCTTTGGTGCACTAGGAGTCATTCAAGGTTTGTTGAACTTGCTCACTTAATTTTTCTGTGTGTTTGCATCTCCCTTTCCCATATCCAGGATGTTTTCTCAGAATGTAAACAAGTGCATGCCCAAGGGCTCTTAGCCTACTGGTCTCTTGGCACCCGCCCTACGGATTTGGCATGGGACCTAAAACTACAGGCTCTGACGCACAGAGAGGATTTCTAAGGGATCTGAACAATATTTCCAGTGTTACTGCCCAAAGCTCCACTTTGTGGTATGCTACAAATGTTCTGTGCATTTCAGTAGACCATGATGAACAGTGTCTTCCTCTGCACTTCTACCTATTCAAGGTATATGGCTGAGACCCTAGAAAAATCCACCAGTGGAAGAACTACAATGTCCTTGGTTTTGCATCCTGCCCCCTTGTATCCACTACTGCTGATCTTTTTTCCTCTTATCCCATTCCATTCCTCCAATATAAATGAATCATATTGAAGTGGCAACAGTGGCTCTTCTGCATGCTGAATTACATCGTGGTTTAGGTCTTCCGGATGTAAAGAAAGAAAGTTGGGGAATTTTACATTTCTTTAAAGCTTTCCCTTGAAAATAAAAGTAGCTGCAATTCTTTTGGTCACACTTTAAAAATTACCTGTTTTAGGACCGAAGTCGAAGCTGGAAAAATATCAGCCCAAGTGACAAAAGTTTGAGAAAGCTTTGAACAAGTTGAAAAGAGTGGAATGGTTTTAGTACCCTCCTCATGCTAACAGTGAATCTGTAGGTAGGAGACCTAAGGTACCATCCACCTTGAAGACTTAGAGTAACTCAAAGTAATTCTAGTCTAGCTCATTCTGTGAAGTGCAAGTTGTTGACTCCCTGGCCCCTATCAGTCTTGCTTTCAGGGTCTTTATGCCCCTCTGTAACTACCCTACAGAAAGAGAACGTGCAGCTCTAAGGCTTAACTGCTACCACTGTACTAAGTTACTTCCTTTCACCATTGAAAATTGTCATTTCTGACAAAGGGGAACTCCAAGCTGAGTTTGTTCAGACCCAGTAATTATTATTTTTAAAATTACAGCCCTTGGCAGATTTGTCTCCACAGCAGCAGTTCTTCTAGGTGGCGCGTTAGCATCGCACAAGCTGTTTCTGCAATTGCTGAGGAGCGTCGCTAGATCCCCAATGATCTTCTTTGAGCAGACGCCCATTGGAAACTTGCTGAACCGCTTCTCCAAAGAAATCGACGCTATTGATTCTGTCATCCCAGACAAGCTGAAGTCCTTGCTTGGATTCTTGTTCAACTTGCTGGAGATCTACCTTGTGATTATAGTGGCTACACCACTGGCAGCAATAGCTATAGTGCCCTTGACCGTGCTGTATGCTGTATTCCAGGTAGGAATTCGTAGAGATACACAGAAAGAAGAGGCTGAAACAGCATAGCCATGTCCCTGCAGAAAGCTTGCTCCCATTCCTTAGGGACGGAGGTGTGCAAAAACTAGTTTCATCATCTCCAGTTGCATGTGAACAAAAAGAACATCAGTGACTCTTCCCACATCACCTCAGCCCTCCAAAGCATCCCAGAGACCTCACAAAGAGGCTTGTGTTTTTCTGATGTCCAGCTCAGATTCCACCTGGAGCTATGCTCCTTGTTCCCATTAATGTAAATTAATTCATGTCAAGACCAAAAGCGCTCTCCCTTTCCCCCAGAATTCCTATGTTACTTTTTACTATAAACACGTATGTCAAGCAGCTCTCCCATTAGGCTCTGAAACCCCACGTGCTTTGCTGGGTAAGACTGAACACAAGGGAAGGGCAACTAAAGGGTGAAAGTACTCCTCCATTCTCCATCCAGCAAAGGATAAGTGCAAGTTTAGAAGCTTTGAGAATTTACAGTACCCTGGCTTCCCTGCGTTAACCAATCATGGTATTCTTAATGAAGGTCAAACAGCACATAGCAGGCAGAAACACTGCAATCACCTTTTAAGGGCATCTCCTGCCTGCAAGTTAGCTTTTGTAACATTAGGATAATATGTATTGTTGCACTTGTTGAGCCCTGTTGAAATTTTCTGTGGAGTATCTCCATGGAGGCATAAACCTAATAGTCACTTCCTCTTCCATTTCCATTTGTGCTAGCACTTCTACGTCATCACCTCCTGCCAGCTGAGACGCCTGGAGGCTGCCAGCCGGTCACCCATCTATTCCCACTTTTCAGAAACCTTTCAAGGGAGCAGCGTGATCCGTGCTTATAAGGACCAGGAGAGATTTATTTTGAAAAGCAATTTCCGAGTGGATGAGAATCAGAGAACGTGCCTCCCTGGAGCTGTTGCTGACAGGTACAAATCTGCAGCGTAGAGGAAACCGTGGTTTAATCTCATGGCCCTGGTGAGTGGAAAGTAGCTGCTTTTGAGGCTTTGATAGAGATATACGGAAGATGAGACAGCGGTGCACAGTGTTTTAGTGATAGGAAAGCCTCTTACAGTATCTCTCACACTGCACCCATCTCTGGCATTGCGCCCAGCATACAACCAATATACTCTAATCTCTACTGTGTGGCTGGGTGTATACACGCACGCGCAAACATACGTATGTCCTGCCACAAAGCAAGAGGTATGATCCTGTGCCCAAAATGCAGGAATCTGGTACACACCTGGTGAAGCCCATCTTCGTGTGACAGATAGAGGGCATGAGGCCTGCAGCAAAGCCATCAGAGCATGGAATAACCAGTTGTCAGTCACAAAAGAGGTGAGGAATACCAGGAGGAGTGAGAGATGTTAGACCAGGTCATCCAAACCACCGTGTGCTGGCTGTCCCCATCCCACAGGCCTGTGGGAAAAAGCCTAATGGAGACCACAGGCCAGCATCTTTGGACAGACTGGAGCCCTCTAGGAGCTACAGGGTGGCTGGATAAGCAGCCACAGGGTGGTAACAACTTTGTTGAGCACCCTGTACCCCTGCAGCTCTACAAGTGTTTTTACAAAGTAATCACAGATGCTGTGAGGAGGAAAGAGGAGGGCACTCAGCAACAACTCTCTACTGTCCTCTTACAGGTGGCTTGCTACAAACCTGGAATTTCTAGGCAATGGCATTGTGCTGTTTGCAGCACTATTTGCAGCAATTGGCAGAACACGTCTTAGTCCAGGAACTGCTGGTTTTTCTATTTCATACGCTCTTCAGGTAACTCAACGTTGCAGTAACACCATGCTGCCCTGTGCAAAAAGCAACTGTAAAGTTATAACTGTAGTCATGTTTTAGAGTTTTGGAGGTTTTTTTTCCTTCTTTGTAGGACTGAAACCACCTTCTAAGGGTGGATGTAATTGCCTTTATTCTTCTAAGTAATACTAAAGGGGCAGAAGACCAGGCCACAAAGCATGAATACTCTTCTACTCTTCTCTATTCTAGTGAATAACTCTTCTTAAGTTTGAAGAACTTAATTTCATTTTCACTAATAGACTCGTGTGTCTGACAAAAGACCCTTAACTGTTTTGGCAGCCTCATACTTCCGTGTTGCCCGATACCGACAGCTGTCCAACATTTGGGTCAAAAATTTCTTTTTTTTGGCACGCAACTTCAGTTTTAATTTCTAAAAAATAATGAACTATTTATATGACTTTCTAGATGCCTTCTCCTACCAAACCCTGCTATCATTGTTGAAATACAGAGACTCCTGACAACATGGCCCATTAGAGAGAATGAGCCCAATAAATCCATGCAGCAGCTGTCTTTTTCCTCCTGCATGTGAACTCATACTTAAGTTCACTTCTTCAGAGCTTACTGTACGAAGTGTGGTCTTCAGCGTCTATCTTACGTGCTTATAGACTAGCTACGCAATAGTTTAAGTGCCTGAGTCAGGTATTAACTTTTCATTCTCTATAAACTTGCTTAGAAGAAGCTACAGGGGGAGCTGGCCAGGCTTTTTCAACACAGCTTTACAAACTTTCACAAGAGCCTGTAATTATTTCTTAGCCTTTTAAGAGATGATTTCTCAGTTAATTAGCTGATGAGAAGGTCTTTATAAATACCATGACAAAGTACCAGGTGCCTTGTGAGCAGAGGTCAACACTCATTTTCTCTGCCCTAATGCTTCTGTTTCTTTCTGCTAGATAACTGGTGTTTTGAATTGGATGGTGCGCTCCTGGACAGAAATAGAAAACAACATTGTTTCTGTGGAGAGAGTGAGGGAATACTTGAGGACTCCTAAAGAGGTAGCTAACCAGCTATTGCTCTTACCGGGGGAGGTGAACATCTCTACAAACCAAATGAGTAACTCTGCTGTTCCATCTAGACAACCTCCCCCTAGTTTTTCCCTTCTGAAAGGCCAGTTATGTTTCCTTTAAAGAACTGCAGCATTTTTTTAAAATCCAGCTAACTAGGTTTGTTTTATAACCTCTGATCATCATATTTCCTTAAGCTAGTTAAGCTTTAGACTGTCATTAAAATAGCTTCACTTGGTAACACCCATGGAATGAGCTGTATTTTCTATCCATATTTGGAGTATGTATTTATTGTGCCAGTTCAGATGCAACTCTGTGATAACTGATGGCTGCTAGATAGCCTTTTAGCCACTAAGAATCTCCAGTACAATCACTTTTATGTTCTGTAATCATTAAAATTATTTCTCCATATACTGACCTGAAATCCTACTAACACTGACACTCACAGTCCCATTTACAGGGGTGTATAAATCTTTTTTATTGAAACATTTATAATATCAGGACTATGACATCCAAACAAATGCCAATCCCCATTTTCAGTTAAGATGATCTGGACCTTTGCACAAAGTAACAAAGTCAAAATTTGGATTATGAAAGCTATAGACTTTTTCTTCTTTTGGAAACAGTAAAAAAAAAAAAAAAAAAAGGAGGAATTTTGCACAGGTATCTTCATAAGTCTCTCATTTCAGTTTGGCCACTTGTTCTGGTAGCTTAAATCAGACCTGTTAACACTGCTGTTATTAAATAAACACTGCTGTTTATTTGCATCTATCTAGGCACCCTGGAGTCTGAATGGCAAACCTCAAGATCAGGTTTGGCTCACTGAAGGAAGAATTGAATTCAGAAACTATAGTTTGCGATACAGGCCAAATTTGGAGTTAGCACTGAAGCATGTCAGTGTAACAATCAATGGGCAAGAGAAGGTAAGCAAAGCCATTTGCTTCATAAGAGCTACAAGTGTGAGCAGTGCTTTGCAATGATCGGATCTGGGCAAGTACAGTCCCCGCCCTACACCAAGGTAATAGCTTATAAGCATGAAAGCTACGGTACGGGATGAGCCCTTTTCCATCCATCACCCTGCACATCTCTCCTCTAGAGCAAGGCAGAGTTTCCTGTATACATTAGATGTTCTCCTGAGAGAATTTTCATTTCAGAGGGTTAGCAGAGCTTCTGTAAAGGAATTTCATTTTTTTTTACATCTAGTGCCACATCAAGGTTTCGTTCTAGTTGGCAAGTATTCCAGTTCTTCTTTTCATCAAAGGCTTTCATGATTTCTCCTTCATATAAAACCATTACAAACTGTAAATGATTCCCTTTAAGAATATATCCCTAGGCAACGTGAGTCTTGAACAGCCCTCAAGATTTGAACCATGTCATGCTGTCTCTTTTCAAAGTCCTTACATCAGCCAAGAACTGCATGACAGGTCTGTACAACTGTCAAAAAAGGATCAACATCAATAACAAAGCTTTCCACTGTACTTGCAGATTGGTATAACTGGGAGAACTGGAGCTGGCAAGTCTACTCTTGCTGTTGGATTGCTGCGATTAGTGGAAGCTGCAGAAGGAGAGATCCTAATTGATGGGCTAGATATTGCTCGAGTAGGTCTCCATGACCTTAGAACCAAGATAACTGTGATCCCCCAGGTATGAAATTAATTTCCAGAATGTTTAAGCAGTGCTACAAGTCTCAACACGTAAGAAAAGTTTAGAAAGTCACTGTGAGATGAAGGACATGCGAAATTTCAAATCTCTAGATAACTTCTATGCTCTGCTGGTCTCCCTTTCAGTATAACATTACCCACAGGCTTGCACCCAGCAGAATCAGAAAGCTCGTTTCTGTGATTAATTTCAAGAGTTGTTTGTGCTTTCTGTACTCAGGATCCAGTTTTGTTTTCTGGCTCTCTAAGAACAAATCTTGACCCACTAAACCAATACACTGATGCAGACATCTGGACAGCTTTGGAATTGACTCAGCTTAAGAACTTCATTGCGGATTTGCCAGATCAATTGGAATATAAATGCGCTGACCAAGGGGAAAACCTAAGGTACCTTATTTGTAGAAGGACAAAGTGCCAGCCCCTGGGCTAGGAGGGCATATAAGTAGCAGGACAAGGAATCTAATTTATCAAGAGAGCAAGTCACTGCATGATTGTCCTATTTAGCAGCATAAAAATATATCAAAAGACACTACTGAAAGACCCTTCAGACTGAATCATTGTGGTGGCTCGTGTTTCTGCAGTGCTTCACTCACTGGAATCCCACTCAAAATGCGAATCTCCTGGGTGCTACAGTAATAGACATCCTTCATTTTCTTAGATTGTTTCACGCTTTCATCTGTGGCGCCACCCAGCCTCAATCACCCTTTCAGGAAAATGGAACAATCACCACTTCACACTGTTTTCAAAATAATCACAAATTATAACCCCAGAGAAAAGTGACTGCCGATCTCAATTTACCACTCCTCTTCTCATTTGCAGCACTGGTCAGAAGCAGCTGGTTTGCCTGGCCAGAGCACTTCTCCAGAAAGCAAAAATCCTGGTTCTAGATGAGGCCACATCAGCTGTAGATCTAGAAACTGATCTTCAAATTCAGTCCACCCTGAGGACTCAGTTCAAAGAGAGCACAGTGTTAACTATAGCTCACCGCATAAACACCATCATGGACTGCGACAGGTAAACACATCTTCCGCCACTTTCCTGAGGAAGGAAGGCAGAGGCAGCTTGCATGAACTAGACAAGCCACACAGTGTTAACGAACAGCAATTCCACTTCTGTCCTTCCTTTGTTTAACCTGCAAAACTTTGCTTTACGTCCTAGGAGCTATCTTACATGAGCTAGACACCAAGAGGCTAAGCAAAGATTGTTCATTCCATGTGATGCGTTTAATGCTGTGTCTTTCCCCTTTTTGCCCACTGACAGCTAAACCATGGCTACGGCTCTTTGCTTCATCTTAAAATCACGAAGCCAAAATACACGCTCACAAAGTTTGCTCCAGTCACAGCTGCCAAGAGCCTCTCCTCCCACACACTCAGGTTTCTGATGAGTGACTGTTCAAGTACTATTTCTATCCCACAGCTGCTTCCCAGTTGAAAAGCTGTTGGAAGCTTGGTTGGATGACAGGCTAATATTGAGATTTATTTTAGAAATAAGTAGAAGTAACGTTGAGCTTATTACAGTTGTTGGTGCATCTCCAGGCTTACATTTCTGTTTTAACATTCACAGGATTTTAGTCTTGGAAAATGGTCAGATAGCGGAATTTGATACTCCGGAAAAATTAATAGCTCAAAAGGGAGCATTCTACAGACTGGTGGAAGAATCGGGCCTTGCCTGACTCACCTACGGAGCATATCGTGATATCACTGTTACCAGGAATAATTGATCTCTTAATTGAGCTGTTACCTTTGTTTCATTCTAAAACGCCCGATACTCAACCAAATTGCGCTTGAGCCATAGCTGCATGGGGTAGATGAAAGGAGATGACTTGGGACACACATACTGTTTCCTTAGGAAACCTAGAGATTCCATATTCATTATCTTTCCAGATACCAAAAATTCACTCTTCTGTTGAAAATGAGCCAGTCAGAACCTTGAACTTAAATGCATGGATGCCTTGCTGCTTTTATGTTAAAAAAACAAAACAAGAACAAAAAACTCCACGCATCTATCTGATTTCTACTATAAATGGAGCCCAACTACACTACCATACTTCAGGATTATACAGAATATTTATAAGTGCCAAAGAGGTTTTATGGACAATGAACAAGAAATTAATTAGTAAGAAGCAAACTTAACTGTTTACAGCTTGCCCTAAATTCGAGGGAGAACACATTCAGTCTTTTGCGAATGTCTTACAAACAGTGCTCAGGTGAGCAGTCTTTACGCAGATAAGATGGAGTGCAAGGCAGCAGCGGTATCTAGTCATCCAAAGCACAGAAGCTCTGGGGGAGCAGGGAAAAGCAAGTGCGATGCCAGTAAGCATGAGCACGTAGGGACTCTGTTGCCTGTGGGCTGCCTGTCACAGCTGGCAATGAACCCATCTCATCTCCATCAGCTTTGGACAGGCCCTGCGCGAACCATGCCGTGCGGAAGGCTGACAAACTGCTTGGGAGGAAGAGAGCCAGCGTAGACATTGGCTTATTGTCGCAGGAGGAAATAACTTGAGCCAGGCATGTATGTGCAGCTGGACATTGTTCATCCTGCTGGAGCACTTGGAGCAGTGAAGGCTGCTGTGAAGGCCACGTGGTCACACCATGGTCACAGCCCACCTGGTCTGAACTCCAGCACCCAGCATTTCCAAACCGATTTTGTCGCAAGGAATTTGCCTGGTGGAAAGCACCCTCCCGTGATCCAGCGTACCTCCTGCAGCATGACAGCTCAGCAGATGGTGAAGTAGCAGGACTCACCCGGTTCGTTCCCAGCTTTCTCCTTGAACTGCTGCGTAACGTCAGGCAAGGTACGGACCTCGTCACACTCGTTTCCCCTCCCAAATTTTCTCTTGTCAGCAGAGAGCACAAATCTACCTTGTTTACACGCTGCCCTGGCACAGCAGAGCCTCTGACTTGGTGCAGGTAACAAACTGAAAAGGCCCCCTAAAGCAAAGCCTCTGCACAGCACTGGGAATCTGCCCTCAGAGCTGTCCCGACGTCCCACCTCAGAAACGCAACAAGAAAACGCGACAAACGAATCACACTGCGAGACACTGACGTTAATCGTGACTTGTGTTACAGCACTTCATTTTCTGGGTGGCTGAAATTAAAGCAGAATAAAGTATTAAAATAGCTCTCTTCAATAAGTTAAAGAAAACTTATAATATAAAAAAAGAGCAATGGTGGAGGGGATGGGAGAACTCAAACTGGCAAGTGTCAACCCAGACCAGACAAACCAGCAGCTTCTTTTCTGCCAGCTGTTCAGTAGCTTCTTCACCCATGTTGAAGAGCAGTTAACAGTTTCTAGTGGACAAGTGCCTAAGATCTTGAAGTCCAATACCTGCTGCCCTACTTGTGCTAAAATACTAGGAAAAAGGTTTTTTCTGCTTTTCTCCTAAACGTTTGTTGTGGTTGAAAAAAGTACCTTACTTACAGGAGAGAAAAAAAAATTCAAAGAACAGATATAAATTATGAGCATCTTAAAAATTCATTAATGAATCTCAAAATCATGCTTTAAACTGTGTTTAAAAATCAGAGGTTTTTTTTTTTTAACTGAGGTCAAAGAGCAAGAGAAGTGCCTGTGTCACTGGGTAATTCTGAAACAGGTATCTTTTACCACACCATAATCTCTGCTTTGCTGGTTGGTAGGGCAATGTCAGCAGCCTCTCCTCTCTTCCCTTCCCTTCCCAAGGCTCTCCTAGGAGCAGCTGGAAGGGCAGAGATCGCAAAGGCGTCCTGGTTCTTCAGACATAGCTGCAATTTAACAACCAACAGGATGCTTGTCCCCAGGTTGGAAATGTCTCGCGCTGGCATCTTTGCTCCTCCTCTTGGTCTCCTCTGCAGATAGATCTGAGTCTCCATTTTAATGCAGCTGGGTAGAGTGATAACAGCCACGCACCTTACTAGTCTGAAACTCGTTTCGTTTTCTGCTCCGTACTCTGTTCCTTACCAAGCATTTGCTCCAGTCTTTCCACCACAGCACTGCACAAGTGCTATCCACCCCTTTCCCATTTCATTTTCCTGCAGTAACTTAACAGCAAGCCACCTAAGCAGCAGGGCGGGCAGACAGGACCTGAACACCACGGGATGGCAAAGGATCCTCTCCGCAGCACCACCGTGGCCATCTTCATTGTCTGCCCCCTCAGCAAGCTACAGGACTCAAGCGGCAGGATAAACCGTGAGATGTGGTCCACCCCTCCCACAGCACACACTTATTTGCCCTCAAGGTTTCTCCCAGACATCAAGCCTGGCAGTCTGGCTAGTTTCAATAATTCTCCTGAGGTAACTCCTCCAATAATTTCTGTTTTCAAGGCAAAAACCTCGACTGCAGAAGCTATGACTTTGTCAGACAAAAAACGACACATCATGTTATCATTCAAACCATTTGTTTTTTTACTCTAAGTTCTTTGCAAATATTTGTATTTCCAATATAGTCATTACAAAAAATACCAAAGAAAATTTCAGTCTATTCAATTTCAGAGTTATAACTTACAAAAAATAAATAGCTTTACTCTAAAGAGAGGACAATTGTCTAGTATTAAGGTCAGCAACATTATTTACAGAAGTCCACATGCTCAGAGTGCTAAATATTTGGATCCATCTAACTCAGTTTGCCTTCTTCCAACAATTTCTTTTAAAATAAGACTCTTTAGAACATGAGAAATGCAACTGCTTTTTTCCTTCCAATAGAAAAATGAACATTCAACAAAAAGATCCTGCAAACCAGACTCCATTGTTAATTGAATTTTTGGACCTCTGACACACAACTTTAAAAACAGTAAAACAAAGGGGTTTTTTGTTGTTTTTTTTTTTTTAAACTGTAACAGAACATTTTCCCACAAGATTTAAGAGTCAGCAGCAGCAGCATGAAGGGCATGTTTCTTTGTTATAAGGCTAATGGCCCTTGATGTGGCAGAGCTGCTATTAAAGTACAAAACTGCCAGAGTCAAGGATGTTACAATCAATATTTACCCTGTAACTCAGTTCGCAACCTTTGCTCAGACCAAGCCTTGCTTCTAAGCCTAGTCCCCATAGGCGTAACCGGGATTCTCCACCCAAGTCTGAATCCCTGAGTGAAGCAGGTGTAAAATTAGGTACTTCATACTGCAACATGCCAGCTGCTGCAAGCATTTGGTTTCGGAGGGATTGTCGTTCCAGACGTGCGCGCACACTGTTTTGAAGCTGACCGTGCTTTTTCACCTCAGCACTACTGACACTTTACAGTGAACTTGCTGCTATGTCCTGTAAACACGTATGAAACCTTTAGGAGAATGCATAAAAGCATTAACCATGTACAGTAAATGCCATAATGAGAAAATCTGGCACACACATTATTTCACAAGAAAAAAGTCTTTGGATTATAGTACTATATGCCACAAAATGTTCCAAATGCATCCCACAACAGGCAGCTCGTTAAATGAGGAATCAGCAAACAAGCAAATAACTAGCCTTCGCAGAAGCATTTTAAACAAAAAACAGGGCTTCAGAACATAAGAGCAGATGAAAAGGAAAAAGCTTTCCTGAACTTCTCTGATGAATCACTCCCAACTTACATTTAAGCATAGTATGACAAATTTCAGGCAAAAATTAACATAAGTCTCTGAAGTGTTTTGGCCAGTATGTGCCTCTCCTAAAGCAGGCTTGATAAATCAATACTAAGGAGAAAAAACAAACAAACAAACAAACAAACAAGAAAAAGACATTGCATTTTTATGTTACTTCCATTTTCGTGGTCTGGCTGACCTCAGGAGGTCTGAGACTGAACAGCATGGTTCACACCAGCCCAGTCAAAGTTACAGTTCTCTGAATGTATCACCTTCTTCTTCCCCAGGCAAACAAACCAAGTTCAAACGCTACACCAAGCCTGAATCTTTGGCCATACTATAGAAAATGCCTTTTTTCTGAAGCAGGTTCTCTGGGCTACCACACTCCACAACTTCGCCTCTATCAAGGACTAAAACTCTGCAAAACAAGGGAGAAAAAAAAAGTTCATAAGATCAGTCCAGAATGCCAGTGACCACAGATTTATATGTATACACAGAAACCGACTGCAGCACAGCCCTTGTACGCAAGGAAAGGCAGACCAGACTGCATGAATGAACAGAGGGCTTCACCTCCCTCCTTGCTGATCTCATTGCAGATAGCCTGCCTGGTCTGTTTTTTAAGTAGCGTGTGTTTACTCAACCATTTGCAGGCAGACATGAGACTGTTTTGACTGTGCTCTGAGCCAACCATAAACTATGGGCAGCGCTTACCATTAAGCTAAGTGAGAGCCCCTGAGACTTTATGAAATTTGAGATAACGCTCCCTCAGTTTTGCACCACACTAACTGCGGTTATACAGCACCCGCTGACAAATACGTAGATATAGCTTATGCAAAACAACCATGCAATTGTAATCAGGAAGGTTGAAAAAACAAGTCACGAAAGTCAGTTCGCAGTTAAAACGCTGCCTTCAGCTACCTCCACCAACTAACTAGGCACTGCAGAGATGCTGGCAAAGCCCCTTCGCAGGTGCTGCTGCATAGTGCTACTGGCTGATGTGTTTAACTGGGCATTAATCTGATGAAAGGACTCCCAGGGTCTGGTGCAGGCACGCTTCTCTCTCATCTTTCACCACTGATAGCATAAACAGAGGTCTACAAAAGCAGACAAATTTTATTGTTGGTCACTTTTCTCTATGCCATTCTGTGATTAAAAGGACAAGATAGCCTGAAACTGAAATTACAAGGAAAAAAAAAATTCTGCCTTGAACCACACCTGAGCAAGGCTGCTGTGAATGAAGGAGGTCATATGAACTATAACCAAACATGAGGGAAAGAAAAAAGGTCATATAAGCCTCAGACAAGGGCAGGACTTGCCCCTCTGTCTCCTTACACTGCCTGTACCTAGTTTAGCGTATAGGCTCCCTGAAGCTCTGGTGCCTTTTCCAGCTGTGCCTAAAATCCATACTGGAGAAGACCCAGGAATAGTCTCCTGCTGTCCTCCTGCCCCCCCTCCCCTTTCTGGTCTGTCTGGGTAGGACCAGCATGACAGCAGCATGACAGAGGGATGAGGGCGGCCCCCAGGGCCAAGCACAGCCACTGTGAGCCACAGCAAATACACACTACCCATCCAGTGGGTAAAAACGCAGTGGTCCACAGTTACCAAACAAAGATGCTTATTTAAGCAGAGCACAAGATGGATCACACGTGCTAGTCTTAAACAGAAATGGTATTCGTTTACCTTGTGTAGTCCATGATTGTGTTTAGACGATGCGCTATAGTTAAAACAGTACACTCTTCAAACTGAGACTTTATTGTTGACTGTATAAGGTTATCTGTCTCAAGATCAACAGCAGCTGTGGCCTCATCTAGAACCAGGATTTTAGATTTTCTGAGCAGAGCCCGAGCCAGGCACACCAGCTGGCGCTGTCCCACACTATGCAGATGGGATAGAAGGATAAAAAAGAAAAGAAGATTATCAGAAGTTTACAAGGTAATAAAGGGAAACGTGTTACAAATGGCTCCGGCATGACCACATCAAACTGGAGCACTGAATCAGTGCAGAGTGCTGAAGACTGGACTTTAAATGGGTTCTGCAGACTGAACACACATCCCTCTTACGGTGCAAAAAGCAAGCTAACAACTCCGGTAGGAAAACTGCATCTGTTGGGCAAGAGCCACAGTTAAGTTCAGAGCATCTGCTATAAATAGCAGGCTGCTGTTACTAAAAACCTTTCCAAGATTGCCTCAGCTGGGAAACTAAACCTAGCAGCATTCTTGACTATTTCTTAAATTATTTTAAATCCACTAACTTAGGAGTTTAAAGTATGTTCCTATTGCCCACAGTGGGTTCTAATGTTCCTGGCAGCAAGAAATCTAGTTATTGCACAATACACGTAACTCTGCAAGTAAAATCTAAACTGGAGCCTGGAATAGTTGCGGATGGGAGAGGGCACAGGGAAGACACGTATCTCAAATCTTATTTAGTTCTTAAGGTAATTTTCACAAGCAAACTTCGTCTACATACCTGAGGTTCTCTCCGCCTTCAGCACACTCATGATTAAGTTTATCAGGAAGAGATGATACAAAATTTTTCAGGTGAGCCAATTCCAAAGACCTCCAAATGTCTTCATCAGAGTGTTGGTCAAAAGGATCA